CAGCCTCTATCTACTTTCTCCGTTGGAAAGATCTGGAAGGAGAATAAGTGATGCACGCGAATTTACCTTTCTACTATTTTTATATCATAATTATGCGAATTTATTATTTGATATAAACGTAATAAGACAAACAAAAAAAGGGGGGAATGTTGTGGAGGCCTCGACGCCGATGAAGGCACTCATTTGAGCTCCACGTGGAAGTGTGGCTCGTCGGCGCGCCCGCATGAGCCGCGTTTAGAGTCACGGGTAAGGATGGCTTTAATGACGCCTGGGGAGGCGCACGGTTAAGGCCGGATTTTTTAGGTTACAGGGGAAGAGTCGCTTGCGCTCAATGTAAGCGCGGTATTCCTACCTTAGCTATGGTTGGATGGGAAAGAATAGGAACCGAGTCTGTGAACGCGCTCGTTTATATATTGTTAACATCGTGGCCCCTCGCGGTAAGGGGATGTTCACGTCCTCGTGTTATTGCGAAATCTCTATTACGTGCTGATTATATTATTTGTGATTTGCTTTGATAATAATTAGATTTTGGTTAGATTGCGCATTTTGTTTTACTGCGGGGGTCGCTAGATTCGTATCGGCGCGTTTTGTCGTAGCGTACTGCACCCAGTTGCGGCGGAATTCGCATTTGTTCTTTGTGCGTTTTTTCATCGTGAGCTTTCGCGTTATTCCGGATCTTTCGTTCTTTGTGCTCGTGGAATTTGTATGTTTGTTTAAGGCTTTTTCTAAGTTACGTGCGCTTCGATTTTATTCGCGATGGTTTCGTTCGCATTCAGGGGCCTTTTGTGACCGGTGGGTGCATTCAGGGTTGCGCGGCAATGCATTGCGTTGGCGTTATGCATTTCTATAAATTTTCCACGGGTCTGCGGTTTTTCTTGCGGCTGCGTCGAGATCGGTTGTTATCTTAATTATTCCTCATCCCGTGTTATTGATGTTTTGTTGTTAAAGTGCATTCTTGCATCGTTTTTAGCGTTTTATACTTTGGCGCAGGCGCAGTATGCGCGGCGTTCAATCGCGACGGCTTCGGTAGCTTGGCCTATAGCTGAATGCGCTAGTCGGCACATATTATATTGGTTCGCTATATTCCGTGCTCGCGCTCGCTTGGTAAACGGACGGGGCGCTATATTGTAGGCGCACCGGACGTTACACTCCTACTTTTTCTGATTTCTGCGGCGTAAATCCCAGCGCGGCGTATTTGCCGGAGTTACCCTATGTGATATATTAGGAATTCCGATGGAAAAATATTTTACTGAAATTTCTTTAAAAATGATATTTTAACAAAAATTTCAAGAAAATTTATTAAAATTTTGCTACAATTTCGCAAAAAGTGATTTCTTTTTCAATCAAAGTTATGAAAAGCATTGAAATTTAATCGAAATTTTTTACCTCTTTTTTGAAAAGTTCTCTTTAAAAGTTTATCGAAATTTCTCTGAAAATATGTTGATATTTAGTTGAAGATAATTTTCAACGCTACACTGATGAAAATTGGCTAGAAACTCATTACAATTTCTTCAAACAATTTTTTTGAAAAAATTGCTGAAAATTCTTTGAAAATTTGCCGAAGTTTCTATAATATGTTGCAATTTACTGGCAGTTGTACGTGGCATCGCCACCAGATGGACGGGGGAGAGTTCTGTTTCTTGTAATTAAAATATTACACACAATAAGAAACATTATGAAATTTTTCACTCATGTTTTAATGAAATAATTCCTTAAAGATATCGGTCTCAAAAATTGGGCTCAAAGATAAAAGTAAATCGAATGTATTTTTTGATAATAAAACATGTCATTTTGCTTTCAAATTCAATTAAATTTCGCTGAAGTGTTCCAAACTGTAGAATAACTTTAGCAAAATATTTAGCCAAATATCAGTGAATTTTAGGGTAAAAGTTTTTTACTACGAAACAAAAATATTAGGAACAACTGATTGATATCTTCTTAAAGATACTCACTCGATCACTGTGTTCCGTAGAATGGACAGAGATTGACGCACGTAAAGTGTGTTTTGTTGAATGAGTTTCTGTTTATCGTACACCGCATTCTCGAATCGTATCCCCCGCCAATGCTTGATCGCCTTGCTCGCACCATCGTGGCGAGGCAGGCAAGAAATACCCAGATCAGGATGATAATCTATAAGATGTTAAAATATATATTAATTACCATAATTTTTACATATTATATAAAATTCGAATTTTGAAATACTAGAGAGACAGAAACGGCGAGAGAAGTGGGGGGAGAGGAGAGGGAGGGGGGGAAAGGAGGAGGGAGGGAAGGGAAGGGGTGAGAGGGAGCGAGAAAGAGGGAGCAATTGATTGATTGATCTTTATTACTAGCTTTCTTAGCTATTTTGCGATACATGTTTAACTTACATTTCGAACATATGTTTTTAACATTCTCTTAAACGTTTCAAGTCTTTCACATTCTTTTATATTTGGTGGTAAGGCGTTATACATTTTCACTCCTTCATAAAACATACTTTTCTGCGCACTTCTTGTATTTCGAAATTTTATTACAATATCCACTGCCTGTCGTGCTTGTCTTTCGCACGTATTACATACTATTTCAAACTGATCTCTCAATTGCTCCGGTAACAAACTTCTTAAAATTTTAAATATAAATATACATACATTATATTGAAGCCTCTGTTTCACTAACGTAAACTGCAACGCTTGTAGCATATCCTTTATTTTAGTGTATTTATTACACTGAAGTATCACTCTCATAGTTCTATTCTGCGCTTTTTGTATTTGGTTCAGCTGTGTTTTCCCCATGTCTATCAAAAGCATCGCACAGTACTCGAAGTGTGTAGCTACTATAATCTTATAAATAATACATCTAATGTACGCTGATACAAAATTACCTATTCTATTTAAAAAAACTTGTTTTTTCCCTATTTTCCTTAACATATAATCGCAATGGTCTCCAAATTTAAGCCTGTCATTAATAACACTGCGCGACGTTTTAAGACTTTTCTTCTGCTGTTTGAATAAAAGATACCATTTCCGATGTATTTTTGCCCGCTGAACACGAATCCGGCAATAAAATTGCTCTATCACGTCACGTTTTTGAGAAAAGTGAAGTTAAAAGTGTCAAAATTGACGTTTTTTGACATATGTGATTTTTTTGCTAGCGAAGTAAATTTTTTTTTTCTACTTTCGTTTGCGCCATCATAAAGTGCCAACTTTTATCTTTAAAATATATTTTTTTTAACGCCGTACATTTTGTTTTCACCGAGATAATCTCTGCGTAGTCACATAAAGAAAAACGTTTTTGAAAAAAAAACCGGAAGAACTTCACAAAAAAAGCGTATGAGACGCTGCTTTTACAATATACAACTAAAGCTCTAGTAAAGTTAAATAACATTTACAATACTTCAGTTATTATAATTTAAAAGAAAAGATAAAAAAATTCATATACCTATATAAAATAATAAAATAAATCTGAAGAAATTTAAAAAACAATAAAAATAATGAAGATAATATAAACAATAAAAAAATAAAAACAGTGAAAAATAAAAAAATTAAAAATATAAAATATATATATAAAAATAAAAATATATAAAAATAAAAAGAAGTATAATGTAGACTGCCTCCACGTGGTGCACTCTGGGGAACAAAAAAATTGTATAAAATTGTTATTTTTATTGCTAAATGGTCTACAGACAAAAAACAAAATGCAGGATCTTCTCTGCCCAGTTAACCATTTTTTTATTTAATTTAAATTTGAAATTCTTTTACAAATGTTTAAAATTTCAAAATTAATATTGTAAACAATATTTTTTAAATTAAATTAAAGCGCAAATAACAAATTTTTGTGATAAAAATTTTTTCCGATGACAAATTTTTCCGCCATATTGAATTCTCCATTATAAATTTCGAAAATTTGACTTCAGATTCGAATTTAGTGACCTTAAAAACCTTGCTACTAAAATCATCACACACTTTTAAAACTTTTTCGTCCAAAACATTTTTGGCACAGAACGTTTTTCTTTGTGTGACTACGCAGAAATTATCTCGGTGAAAAAAAAACGTACGGTGTTAACAAATATATATTTTACAGATAAAAATTGGCACTTCAAGATGGCGTAAACGAAAGTAGAAAAAAAAATTTATTTTGCTAATAAAAAATTCACAAATATGTCAAAAAACGTCAACCTTTACCTTCACTTTTTTCACAAATCTGACGTGATAGAGCAATTTCATTACTGGATTCGTGTTCAGCGGGCAAAAATACATCGGAAATGGTATCTTTTATTCAAACCGCAAAAATCACGTCCCCCAGTATAATTATTCCTAAATATTTCATTTTTTCTACACACTCAATCTCAACTCCATCCAAACATTTCAATGTAAAATTACTTCTCAGTTCTTTCCTTACACTTCTAACTATCATATATTTTGTTTTATCTGCATTCATTTTCAATTTGTTTCTGTTCATCCAATTTTCGACTATATTGAATGTCCTGTTCATTTTTACCTATAAATCCGCACTACTTTCTCCGCTTACGTATATGAGCGTATCATCTGTGAACATCTTTATATTGCACTCTCTGGGTAGATTTTGATTATATCATTTATATATATTATAAATAACAAAGATCCCAATACTGATCCTTGTGGTACTCCATATTCTGTTGTTAGTGATCTAGACCATTTTTGGTTATATTGCACATTCTGTTTCCTATTATTTAAATATGATTTGAACAATTCTAAAACCCTATCCCTGACTCCATATTGATATAATTTTTCTAATAATATTTTCCTATCTATCGTTTCGAACGCTCTCTTAAAGTCCATGAAAATTACACCTACCAATTTTTTCCCGCTTACTATTAATTTCCATTCGTCAATAACAGTTTGAATCACCGTCTCACATGAATAATTTTTCCTGAATCCTGACTGATGTTCTGTTATAATACCGTTACTTTTCAAATACATTTCTAGCTGTTCTTTTATTATTATACTAATTCTAACACTTTTTCATACATTGGTAACATATTGATAGGCCTATAATCACCTGCTTTTTTGCTTTTCCTATTTTTGGAATAGGTTTTATTGTCGAAGTTTTCCAGCTTTTCGGACAGCAGATTTCTCTCCTTCAAAAAATCATTTATTATATCTACAAATACTTCTTTTACGTAAAAAGATGCCTTTAGTATATCGCTACTTATTCCCTCTTCTGTGCCTTTCTTATTTGGCAGTCCCATGACTATTTTCTCTAGTTGTTCTAAACTGACAATCTCAAGATTTTCCATAATTCCTTTATCTTTTATGACATAAATAATTTTCTTACCTACATCGCTTGGGCTATCTACGTTTATAGACTGTATTATACTATTAATACTTTGTATAAATATGCATTAAACTTATCAGCCATATTGCACTCTTTAATATCGCCTAAATTTTCAAAATCTATATTTTCTACTTCCTTTATACCTGCTGGCTCACCCCTAATTATTTCTTTCAGTGTTTTTCACATAATTTTGGGATTTTCTTTATTAGAATCTATCATGCTCTTATAGTACTCTTTCTTCTTTTGCTTAATCAGTTTCACTATTATATTTCTTTCGGTTTTAAACTGCAACCAATTTTGTACTGTATCATCATATAATGCTTTCCTGTATGCCTTATCTCTTTTATCTGCCGCTTCTCTTATTTCGTCTGAGTACCACTTTTTCTCTTCCCATGCTTTCGGTATTCTAAATTTTTTCCTCGGTGCCGTTACTAACGCATCTATTATACTATTGACAAATATTTCCGCTCTCATACTGACATCCATATCTTGGTTTATTCTCAGTTTATCTTCTACTAGCCTAGTAAATTTATTTACATAAAAACTCTTATAACTTCTAACGCTAAATTCCTTATATTTATTTTTAATTTTATTCTTACTCAACTCTACTTTAAACCACGCATAATCCGTAATTTTAGGCTCATGAATACCTGTACTTTTAATTTATTATTATTGGTAAAGAGTAAGTCTATAATTGTCTGACTGTCCTTCATAATTCTAGTCAGTTCATAAACGTACTGCTTCATCCCTAAACTCAACATTGTTGTTTGCAACTTTTTCGCATAAAACGAGTTAGTCTTAAGATCTGTATTAAAATCTCCTATTATCATACATTCTCCTTTTATTGTTAGTTCCTTTACTATATCTTTCAAAAATCTGATAAATTCACCATGTGACGCGCTCGGTGAGTGATATGTTACCATAATCACTCCTTCGTTTAATTTTTCATTCACTTCTACAGCAACACACCAACAATTTGATTTTAATTTTTGCATTAACATTACTTCATGCTTAATACCATCTCTTACATCTGGAGACACTGGTAGTGTCTCGACGCTAAGCTGCGCGAACCGACGAGTTGCGGCAGATCGAGATTATCGGATCTCAATAACGGCTGAACCGATCGCGTTCTATGTATGCTCAATCGATAGCCACCACACGAATTGTATCATAAAAGTGCTTTTATTTTTTTTCTACGTGCCCTACGAGCGGAGATATCGCGACTCAAAGTTCCGAACTGCTACTTTTTCAGACCATTTTTCAGATACGTCGTCCTTATTGTCATTATTATCTTCGACCACATTCCGCGCATTCCTTTGGTGTCCTTCTAATATTCTTTACGCAAGGAGCGCTAGTTTCGTGTCCTTATGACATTCTTTACGCAATTATTACGCAATACGCAAGGAGTGCTAGTAGTGATATACATATATGATCAGCGAGTGCTGCGATCTGGAGACACGACTAATTATTAGGATACGTTTCCACGAGTGCGTCACGCGTCGCGTGTCATGACGCGACGCGAAAGAGAGAAACGAGTATAATAAACTTCACTCTTTCTCTCTTTCGCGTCGCGTCGTGACGCGGTGGACGACGCGACGCGTGACGTGCTCGATGGATACGTACTCTTAGTGTATACACTTTTGGTTAGGTTAGGTCCGTCACATCGATGGTAATAAAGGAACACGTAAGTGATTTTCTGTTTCTGCAATACACATTTTAGACTTACTCGACACGTTTTTGTACTGAATGAACGAATCTGATAAAAAAAATTACCCCGCGGACCGAGATATTAATCGTTAAAATTGATGACTATTCAGGTTAGGAAATCTGTCATATCG